TTGTAGAGTAGCTTTAACAGCTAATGTCTCCGAGCATTTCAACAGCACAATGGGCAAAGACCAGACCACAACACCGGGAACTTCGTGCCCTGCTCTTTAAAATGAGTGTGTGGGTTCTTTAACGTCCCCTGCTGACCATAACAGTGAAGATGCAGGAGACGGGGCCTATGACCATTGTGATTTTCTTTCTTTTTGACAATCTCATATCCAGTGCCCGCTCGTTTTCGGTTAGCCGAGTGCCCGACGCACTGACTTACAGAAAGTCCTGGTTCCGAATTGATTGTGCGCGTTGCGTTCAGAGCGGAAAAACGCAATAAGCATGCGCGAGTTTTGGCTTCGCATCAGAGGCTCCAAGTTTGAAAAAATGGCGGAAATTTCGTTGACGTGTAAACCAAAACAGTTAAGAACTTTATACGCTTTCCCAATTTTCCCAGTAAGCAGCAACATTTTAACCTCACTAATGAAAAGGTGGTGTATTGTTTTCGTGGGGAATCGTTTTTTTTTTTTTTTCGGACAAAATTAACCTAGGGAAGGTTTCCGAACCCTTTATTTATCCACGGTATAAAAGCATTTTCGTTGCGAAGACACATTTTATCCACAAATACTCTTTACGTATTGCATCCATATAAGCAAACCACTGAATATGTAATCAAGAGAGCCTTTCAGCGGGTAGGGAGAGACAGTGAAATACCGAAAAAAAAATTCATGCTTGCCCAAGTATAAAAAATTCAACCGAACGACATTCTCGCGTACCTTATTACAGTCCGCCGTTCTTTCCACCATTGCAGCTCGCATTATTACCTGAGACCGCAAGTAGGGCTGGGGATGCGCAGAAAGCTGCGCAGTACGTTTTTCCGTTCTGGACGCGTTACGTTCAAGTTCAATAACGGTTTCTGAACTTGTGTAAGGAGCGTAACCCGCTGCCACTAAATCTGGCTCAGACTGTTCCCAGATAATGGAACGTAATAAAATTCAGCTTGGCAATGAGGCTTAGAGGACACAAACAAAGGAAATTGAATGACCATGTTTATTCATTTCTTTTGTTTCTGTCCTTTTGGCCTCACTATCAAACTGAATTTTAATATATCGAAACTGACCTATTGTTACTAACATAAAGAATAACGCCCTTTGGGGACGAACTTTCGACAAGTAAAAATGCTTCAAATGAGCGTGTTGTTTTATGATTTGTCTCATTCTTCCTCAGTCCTAACCTGCTGGTTGATTAGTATTTATTCTGAGATTTTATTATTCTTTTAGATAATTTTGTCCCGGGCCATAGAAGATGGAAGTGAAAGTTTGACAGTGTAATAAAGCTGAATCGAAATCTCGATCAATAGCCCTTATGCGTGATGACATCAGACAAGCAAAATCACCACCACGCCACGGTTTGAGAATGCAAATTTTAAATTTTATATCATGAACTAATTCTCAAAGCAGCGAAGGTGAAAAGAATACCCACTTGAAAACATCACAAAGGCGAAGGCGGTTTGAGACAATGTCGTGCAAACGAGGTTTAGGGGTAAATTTTGAGCGTGTTACGTAATCGTGCATAAAACCTATTGCGCCTGGGTTTCAGAATGAACGGCCTGTTGTTACAATTAAACAAAGAGTCACCACGAATTGTCGGGAATGAATGTTTTAAAACAATGACGCTTTCTTTTATAGAAGGAAGAACTTTAATTGCATTTAAAGCTTTGTTCAAGAGAGCATGAAATCTAATATATTTATTTACATTCATATATCAAGAAGATCCAGAGCCGATAATAATTATAAGCTGCCGCCTAATATCATGAATTAATTATCACTTCTTTATTATTGTTATCATTTTTTGGCCAATTGTAGAATAACCCAGTATAAACTATTTTAATTCAATTTTCAGACGGCAAATATGTCGCAGGACAAAAATTGCAAGAAACTGAATATGTACAACAAAATTTTCATTTCAGACCATTAAAAATCTCTCGCATATTTTGACACTGTTTTAGTGTAATTTCAATGTTCGGGTAAGAATTTATACCACAAAATTTTTCCACTGTCCTCCACAAAGCGACAGTAGCTGTCAGTGTTCCATAGCGCTTTCCAGAAAGGAGTGTTGTCATAACTGTAGTAATCTCCCAGGACCGGTTTAATCGCTTCAGTGGCCTCGGCGATGTGGTAGTGAGGCATGTAAGAGAACAGATGATGAGCGACATGACAGTCTGTAAGGTGATGGAAGACATGGTTGAGCACACCGTAATCTCGATCGATAGTGCACAGAGCCCCTTTAAGCCAGGTCCATTCTTCGTCAGCGTAGTGCGGTACTTTGACATCTGAGTGCTGCAGATAAGTAACTATTACCAACCACATATTGACGTTACACAGCGGAATCACGTACAGGAACACCAACCAAGCAAATGAGTAGACGTTGGCGCTGAGATAGTATAGGACGCCAATCCACACCAGCAATGCAACATCGCTTAAAATCACATCCCAGAAATCATTGGGCGAGAAAATCGGAGCATACGGGTTAAAATGATTCGGTCGCAATCGGTGCTCCTTGTAAGGCCTGCCTCGTGCGTTGAAGAACAAATATGCCGGCCAACCGATTGATAAGTATTTAACGAGGTGAAGAATCCTGAAGAAAATATTTGGAAATTCTAAATCGTTTTCCGACTTGAGAAGGCTTCTAGTGTTCGGGACAAACGCTTGATCGCCGTCCATTCGGTTAGTGTTTCGGTGGTGTTTGGCGTGTGTAATTTGCCATGAATGATAAGGCACAAACAGCGTAGTGTGTAAGACCAAACCGATGATATCACAGAGGCGCTTGCTGTTACAGAAAGAGTAGTGGCCACATTCATGTGCAATTATCCACACGCTGAAACCAACACAACCTTGACAAATCCAATACAGAGGCCAGAAAACGGCGTGCACGTAAAGCGGCAACGACGCGTTAAACACCCAAAACGCGAAGGCGTACAGGAGAAAAACGCCTGTCAGATCCAACAGCAAATACGCCATTGAGGTGAGAAGAGACCGTTCGAAGCAATGTGGCGGAACAGCATCTTTTAAATCTTTTAACGTAAAAGGAGGATTTTCAGTCGGCATCCTAGAGTCGGTGATATTTGTAGCAGGTTTACCGTCTTCGGCTGTCGGTGAATCATCCTTGGTACGTTTTCTGGTTGAATTTTCCATCCTGATGCCTGAAAGTATTTTAGTGAATTTCAAATATATCCAGAATGGAACAATTTAGGCAGCTCTCTTATTAATGAGTGTAAGTCAAAAAAAGGCTTGATACCTTGATTGATTGTTGTGCATGTTTGTTTGTCTCGCGTGGTATATTTTCCCGCACGAACGAATCAGCGACGTGAAAACCTACAAACGAGAGTTAATAACCTGAATTATTCACCGCACACCTGTTTTGAAATTAATAAATAAATCAGTGTAAATGGCGGGTGGTTATTTCGCTTGAACCGCAATATAAAAGGCGAAAATCCCTCGCGTTTATGAGATTATATTCTTCGCAATGACTTGAATTCGACACAAATTAAACCCAAGTGTTTTAATTTATTATAATCTCACGAGTAATTCTAGACTGAACAATTGCGAAGAGCAGAGCAGCACCAAGACTTAAATGGCAGCATTAATCGGTTTGTATTTAATAATTACTTACCAATTTTCCTTCAAAGAAAAGGAATTTCTCCATAACATCGTAATGTGGTGAATATCAAATCATCTTTCCTTATTTTTGGTTGCTAAGAAACCATAGTGACGTCAGGCGTAAACCGCGCGCAGCAGCGGGCTTTAGCTCGTCGTAACAATTCATTTGACCTTCGCTGAATATACCAGCCAGCCACAAAGTTTTCGACCACGCGAATTAATCACCTCTCAAAGCAATTAACTTTCTTTCGCTATTGTATGTTTAAAAGAAAGCTTCTAAATTATTCCTGAGGTGGTTTCGTTTGTGGTTCCGCAGCTTTCTTCTAACAAATCGTGTCGTTAGATTTTGTACCATTATCTCCGTTTTCTTACTTTCCAAACCTCTTGCACGATAGCCCAATTCAAAAATCATGTTAGACTTTAATTACAAGTACATCAGATGTCCATGGTACACGAATAGGCACGGAGAGAAACGACGTAAGCTCGGTTTAAATTAATGATGAGGGATAACAGTGACAGAAGAATCCAGAAAAAATAAGGCGCGTAAATATTTCCCTAAAAAGCTGTAAACAGAGCATCGCCTTGAAAATTCTTGAATCTCAGTAAAAGAGGAATTCTCAGATTTGGCCTAACCTGTCATCAGGCGTTCTTTTTTGGGGACGGGCAATTGTCAGTCCTGAGTGCTCAAGTGGTTAATTTTTGTCAGTGAATCCTTGCCTTATTAGTCTTCATTAGCTGTATGTGCCCAAATTTTGGTGAAAATAAGTTGCAGTTCAGCATTTGCATATCAACCAGTTAAACTCGATATGTACAACTCGTTAATTACCTAAGTCTACTCTGTTGCGTCTCATACCGAGTAAACAAAATTAAAAATTTTCTCATTAGCGGTAATTTGCTAGTGATAATTTATTTGTTTGTTTATTTGTTTAACTTTAAATATATTAAAGTTTCTATGGTTTAAATGTTGTTCCGGAAGTGGAGAGACTAAAATTTAAAGACTAAACTCCTAAGTGTAAAATTAAATTACTGGCCGAAATAGTCCTTGAATTAGTTCCTGAACCTTTTCTCCGAGAAATGAAATCACGCGAACCGAAGAAATATCTCGGCGGGATCCGAACTCACGGTCAGTCTTGGTTAGATCACTGTTGCTCTACCAACTGAGCTACAAGACCACAAGTGATTATAAAGACGTTACGATAATGTATTGCGATGCAATGTAGAGCCACACACATGTTAGACTGAAGCCTAGAGAAGTAGTTAACCGTGTTCAAATTAAAAGTGTCTCAAACGTTGTAAAGTATTTAGGTTAAGACGAAAAAAAGCCAAGACTGTCTTATGTGTGTTCTTGGTTAATACTTTCAAATCGTTTCTGTCTTTCTCCATTTGTCCGGACCGTTCTGCAATTTAATAAAAGTTTCACAGTGTTTATAAGCGAGAGATGAGATAAACAGGAGGTCGAAGCACCGGCTTTTTTAATTAGATTGTGAAAGTTAGTCGTTTTCCCCCCCCACAAGGTTTTCAGCAGAACAAACTTTCAATATTCGCTTACGTTCTTTGAATTTATTGTTTGATTAAGCCGTTCTTGACCTTGGTTATTTAAATTAAATATGCGGGCGAAGTTAGAAAACAAAAGATTTCAATAAAACAGTAACAAGGCAGAAGATTTCAACAAAACAGTAGCAAGGCAGAAAATTTGAACAAAACAGTAGAAAGGCCTTATTTCTGGCAAACCATTCACTGGAGGTTATAAAAATATCTACCAGAAGCGACCCGCCGAACTGTTTACTAAAGAAAAAGAATATTAAAGAAACGTAAAACACTTAAATCTAATTTTTGAATTAAAATTTCAACTATTCCTTATACAAATTGCAAAATTTTAAATGCCCAAATTGGGATCATTTTCCTAAGATTCCTATTTGTTGTTAGCCTATTCTAGCCTTGCATACGGTGGCTGCGCCCGCAGTACGAGCGCCAGTCAAAACTGAGCTGGCCCACAGAAACGACACGATCTGATAGCCTTTTTCTTCGTAGCCAACAAAAATAAAAATAATTCTAACGTTGCTTTTGTCTTTCAGAATACATAACAAGGGAATTCTGGACCTAATTTGGAAGAGGGTAATTTTTGTTTTCCGCCAATACCTATGATACACTAATTTTGCTAGTTTTTACGCAGTGTGCCATCGCACAGGCAGTCAGCACCATGAACGCACAATTTGGACAGTCTTCGATTTAAAATCCTCAATTTGATGATTTCATTTCCGGAGGTGTCAGCTCAAAGGTAAGGCGCTGACAATCATATATAAGCACTTTGTGCAGAACCCAAGAGTAACGGACTTGGCTTGTCTACAAGGTTAGACATAAATGTTCATGGGCCTTCTATTCGCGTCATAAACCTCACTAAAATGAAATCAAGCCTTGCTAAGTGGTGTGAAGTGATTAATATTATGAGTATTGTACTTCGTATTACTAATCCATCGCAAGTGGCCCCCTTTCCCCTTCCCCACAAAATATTCCCCGTTTGAAACTGTCTCAATATTTTGCCGATGCCCATGACACCCGTACAAGTTTGGGCGGAGATAGCATCTCGGGTACAAGCGTGTCTTGCCAAAGAACGCAACACAGAAATACAAGATAAGCCTGACCTAACTGTCAGTATGTCAA